AAGTGGAGATCCAGCGCCCTGTGGAAGAGGTCGTGGCTGCTCTGCCCATGATGGAAGTGACACAAATGAAACAGTTGTGTGAAACATCTGAACTGCCAGACAAACAAACCCTGTCTGTGACTGTTGAGGATGGAAAGGACATTGGTGAAAGTGTGAAACCTGAGGAGGTTTCCCCTGATCAGGAGTTTGTGGATGTTAGCAGCTTGTCTGAGAACACAATGGAGGAAACTCAGATTTGCACCCCAGCAGAAATTCAACAGGAAATGGTTGAATTAAATGTAGTTGAGGATGTAATTCAAGCAGAGGAACCATCGCTGCAAGAACCAGAGGCTGAAGTTGAGATACTGTCTTCATATGACAGTGAAATTCCTGCGCCAATTGAACAGGAATGCTCATCTGAACTTCTCCTGGAACCTGCACTGAGGGAAGAAGTCAATATCCTCAATGTCGACCAGAAGGCTACAATTGACGAGAACAATCCTCAAGTAAACGTTAATTGTTTGCCTGATGACATCCTCTCCATATTGGCCAACATGGGAGTGATTACAGAAAACAATGGAACTTTGGATTGGGCTGATAATACCACAAGTGAAGCGAGACAGACCATACCGACAGAAAACCAGAACAGTAACGAGTCGGTGACTGCGGAAGAAGGCTGCTCTGAAGAGTCATGTGAAAACCTGATCTCAGACAGAGCAGAGGACCAGGAGGAGCTCAGTCCAATAGATCCACCCTGTCCAGAAGAAACCAGCATATGCATGGAGGAAAAAAACATGGATGCAACAAACGAAACTCTTGAAACTTTGTCAGAAGAGAAACCCGAGAGCTTGACCTCTGATCAACCAGAGGAAGAGAGGGAGAAAAGTTTAGTAGACTCACCCCGTCCAGAAGAAAGCACCATCTCTATAGTAGAGGGAATCTCTGAGTCAGAAAACATTGTCCCAGAAACATGTATTAAGTCCTTTGTAGAGACATGTGGGGACCTGATCTCAGACAGACCAGAGGAAGAGAGAGAGGCCGGTGCAATAGACACACCTCGTCCAGAAGAACGCAGCATCTTTATAGTAGAGGGAAGCTCAGAGTCAGAAAACATTGTCCCAGAAACATGTAATAAGTCCTTTGTAGAGACATGCAAGGACCTGATCTCAGACAGACCTGAGGACCTGGATCCAGTTGATGAATCTTGTCAAGAAGAAGTCAACATCTCCATCGTCCAAGAAAACATGGAATCTGAAAATGAAGCCCCTGAAACTGAGGCTTATAACGAGCCGTCTAAAGCTACAGCACGTAAAACGGCTCACTACCTGACACGATCCTTTGTCAGGAAAGTCTTTGAAATGGCTGGGGAAGAGAAAGACCTGCACGCTCGCTCACTGATGACCATTGAGCTGCAGAGGAAGGTCGCGACGAGCATCAATGTCACAGACCAAAGCCAATTTAAACCTGAACAGTTGGAGAAGATTGGAAAGAGAGTCGCTAAACGTCTTAAAGTGAATATTATTTCCATTGAAGAGTTTGAAACAGAAGTGTTGGAACAATTCAACATTGAGCTAAGAAAGCTCCAGAACCGTCCTAAGTCTGGCCTGGCACGGTTCTTCTCTCGGGTCAGAAAGGCCTTCACCTTTTAAACATTTCCCAACCCAAGAAGCACATCCATCCATCTGGGAACAGTGCTTTAAGACCAGGCGACGATAGACGCAGAGATGGACACGACAAAACACCAAAACTCATTTGAAACGTTTTAATTCGGCTTAGTTTAGTTTTCACCACAGAGATTAGGACTTAAACATATCATGGAGGAAAGTTTGATTTCTTGATGATTTGTTAAAGTCATTTAACAATCACATTGGTCTATTTTGAAAGATTTTGCACATGTTACAGATTCCAATGATATCGTATTGGTCGCATGATATAGAGAAGCTTTCAACAGTCATCACCTGTACTGAACAATGTTTGAGAATGGAGACTTTTGGAATGTCCGGCATGGGTCATGAAGGACCTGTGAAGGGCAGGATAAAGGTCCCTATTTCAAAAGCATTGACCTGATGAGATGACCATTTTGTAGCTTTTCTGACATGGGCTTGAACACAGGAGGAATCACATTCATTCAAGTGACTGTGCAAACTCTGAAGAGACATGTGAAAACCTGATCTCAGACAGAGCAACAAATGAAACTACGAAGTTTCCATCTGGGAACTGTGCTTAAAGATCCGGTGACGATAGACGATAGAGATGGACTCGACAAAACACCACAACTCATTTGAGACTTTTTAATTTGGCTTAGTTTAGTTTTTACCACAGATATTAGGACTTAAACATATCATGGAGGAATGTTTGATTTCTTGATGAATTGTTAAAGTCATTTAACAAACACATTGGTCCCTTTAGAAAGATGTGGCACACATTACAGATTCCAATGACATCGTATTGGTCCCATGATAGAAAAGCTTTTACAGTCGTCACCTGTTTGAGAATGGAGACTTTTGGAATGTCCGGCATGGGTCATGAAGGACCTTTGAAGGGCAGGAAAAAGGTCCCTATTTCAAAAGCATTGACCATCTGAGATGACCATTTTTGTAGCTTTTCTGACGAGGACTTGAACGCATGAGGAATCACAACAACAACAGTCCAAGTTTACTTTCACTTGTTCACTCTGTGTTTTGTGGTGGAAAGTCCATCTTCTGTTGATCTCACGGAAATGGGTTCTTGTTCCAACGTGTTCCAGGACTAATGTTCGGGCAATAATGAGAAAAAAAATTAAATAAATGTCTTGCATATTATCATTTTGATTTTGTTGTTGCTACCCATTGGTCAAACTCTACTCCTCCAGCAAATCTTACTGGTAAAAGCAAGGAACTGTTTTGAATATTTATATTTTTTGAAAAACACTTAATATAGACAATACTACAGAAATATGTATTTCAAAGTGAAATACAATCAAAGTTGCATACATTATACAATTGACAAAAACAAAGCTACAAGTGAGACCATCTCATTAGACAAGACGTAACACAATTGGTTGTTACGTCTTGTCAGTTTTCCACTATCAATTCAAAAACAGACAATAAAATTAAAAAATTCTCCCCAATACAGATGAAGCATTTGTAATAATTATTTACAAAAAGTCAAATAAGATAGATATATACTTTATTCCTTCAGGATCAATAAAGTATATAAATAAATACATTGCAACAACACCAACATCTGGATGTAAACCTTGCCAAGGAAGTGGCCTGTCATACATGCTGAGGAACAATTTTCCAGATTTTAGCTACATGAATTTGAAATGTTGACCCTCCATGTTTAGTCCTGACTTTGGACACCAGAAAGAGGCCAGTCCCAGCAAGACCAGTCCCTGTGCTCCTCAGAGTTGATTCATATGACACTAACATGTCACAGATGTGCTTTAGAACGAGGCCAGAGAGACACTTGCAGAGCTGATTTAGTCTATTCTCTTTAATACTGATAGTTAGGATCCTCAGTTTACCAATTTTTATAACTTGATTTTAAAGGTGATATCAGCAACTTCAAATGTATATTTCTGATCATGGGACACTGTACTATACAGAGTATGAGTAAGTATTTTTCAACAATTATATATCTGAATTCTGAAATAGTCCCTCCCCTTGACATAACTACGATCAGTAAGCTGAACCAATGACGAGAGGCATTCGTCCAGGAAGTTGCAAAGTAATTATGGGCAGGGCTTACAAGCACGTGATTGCAAATGGTTGTCTTCACTACACAGTTTGAAAAGTAATTGACGTTCACTTTGAGATGCTCTGGACTTGTACTTTATGTTACCACCATTTTTCTTTGCAACATTCAAAAATTACTCCAAGAAATGTTGTTTTGTCAGCTCTGTCCATGTTTGTATTTTTAGTGCAGAAGCAACAATGTGATTTTGCGTTGGTGGTTCTATGGCATATTATAAGTGTATTTAAAGTTTGGGTGCCTGACTTATAATAATGTTTGTTCCAACAGAAAGAGTCTTGTGATTGTAAAATGTTGTGAACAAATCAGACCACAACTTGCTGTCTTAATCTCAGTAGATTTTTTTTTTTTTCCGTTCTATCCTGGCAGCCCTGGGAGTCACTATTGGACCCTTTGAGCTGATTGAATGGGGGAAGTCCTCTCGTCTTATCTTTTTTGTCTGGAAAAGCTGATCCAAAGATGTGAGAGTGGTCAAAAACAAGTCCATGTGAAAACTCAGGATAGAAGCAAACTGTTGCAGCTATTTGACTATTTTTAGAATTGATTTATGCGAATTGACTTTAGTTATATTCTGCTGAGGTCTTTTGTTTAAGATAAGTAGCGTTAATTATTGCTTATTTAATTTCATTAGGTCACAGGATTAAATAGGGCATTTTGGGGACATTTTACCAGCATGAGGAGAGGCTGCAGCTTGCATGTATGCCATTTGCTTGGTCAATAAAACACTCTTCACTGCATAAGCCAATTTGAAAATGCCTTAAATGGCCTTTTGTTTTGTTTTGGTGTAAGTTTCTCAAAGGTTTACGTTATGGACAAATCACCATTACACAAACTGTTTTGAGAGCAGGCACAGGTGGCTGAGTGGATAGCACTCTCGCCTCTCAGCAAGAAGGTCCTGGGTTCGAATCCTGGTTGGACCAGGGCCTTTCTGAGTGGAGTTTGCATGTTCTTCCCGTGTCTGCGTAGGTTTCCTCCGGGTACTCCGGTTTCCCCTACCACTAAAAATATGTCCAATAGTTCTGGCATGCGCTTCCTGTACTGGCGACCCCGCTCCCATCTCTGTGTGGAGTGAGAGACAAATGCCCAAAATTAACAATTGTAAACCGCTTTGAGACTCAGATCTGCAGTGAAAAGGCGGTATATAAATAAAGATTACTTACTTACTTACAAGATTATATCACATTGCTCTATTGTTGTGGTTTTAAATGTAGGTACCCCAGCTTTAAGAAGCAGTAAACCAGTTTCCTCTGAACACAACTTACTTACGTTGCAAAAATACGTTGCAGGTCATGAACACAAAGAAGAAAATGAAGAAAAAGAAGTATGTAAACTCTGGCACCGTGAGTATTGCACACAAGTACTTCTACAAATGTCCAGACTTTGCATTCATAAGATTTTATTTCTACTATTTTTTGTTTTCAGGTGACCCTCCTGTCCTTCACCGTGGAGTCTGAGTTCACGTTCTTGGACTACATCAAAGGAGGGTGAGTCGTTGACGATCTCACTATTCAATTTATTTCAAACAAGTTGAACACTGAGTACTTTTAAAAAGCATATGGACTGTGTTAAAAAGAAAAAGCACTATTGAGCTTGAAAGTGGGCGGAGCTTAATCCACCTTTTTCTGAAGTTTTATAGGGGAAAGTGTCTCTCTCGATACAGGCCTTCCCTCTTTTTTCACTCAGATCACACTGTACACAATACATTGAACTGAGTTATCCAAAAATCGCTAAAAAATTGCCTCCTTCCTAGACCGCCTGTTGAATCCAGCAGCACGTGTCTGATTTTGACAAGTCCGAGTTCATACGTTACTGTTGTGCAATCTTGTGATCTTGGCAAACTTCCTCCTATGTTCACGAATGAGAGATGGAATCAAATCTGCAAGTATATAACAAGCATTCAAAGGCATTTGAAGAATATAAATTAGTCAAAACATGCTATCAAGACCCTACTATGATAGAGAAAACCCACTGTAACACGGTCAGAAGCTGCCAAAAGTCCACCTTGCCCGCCCACTTTCACTTCAACTTTGTCGACACCATCACATAATAATCCATAGTTGATGAAAATTACATACTTTAGCTGTTCATGCAAATGTCTCCACCTAAAGCTGTGACCTCTGACTTGTAGCCACAGCTATGGCTGTGCATAAGAGCGTTTAAATCTTAATGAAGCCGTAGTGCAGGTCGGGTCGATGCCCCTCACGTCTGCAGGGTTAATATGGAAATGCAGAGGAAGTTATTATAATTCTATAGAGCTCACGGCCAATGGGGAGTGGGAAGTACTGGAGGGAAAATGCGGATGATTTTAAACATATCTTCAACATGGTCTGTGAAGATTCCAATGTTGATTAAATTAAATTAAATTAGATAAATAAACTTGCCTTGCCTTGCCTTGATTATTACTGTTAAAACCACATGTTTAAATTTGCAGGTTCCATGTCAACACTAAGCAATGAGCACAAACAATTAGCTTACAATTTCACTGTGAAGTTACGTTTAAATGTCTATTACACAGCGGCATGTTGAATTAAGTTGCTAAACCTGCTTAACCTGCCTGTTTTTTTTTGTAAAATTCACAAAAATAAAAGCTGGAGTTTCCCCGCGAATGGAGGCATCAGGACCATAGAGGACCATTATTAAAGCCCAAAATCATGAGTGTCACAACTTTACTGAGCTAGAGGAGTTCACTTTACATTGTAAGTGAATAGGAGCCAGAGCAAGATGGAGAAAAACATATTCTATGAGCATTTCCCTATTGGGCTTCATTGAGCAAGCTGCTACTGTGATAAAAGAAACTTGGAAATGCGTTTAACTTCTTAGTCTCTCTTACAAGTATCCACCAAACGTCAGGGTTAGGCTGATGAAAAAAATCATACATATAATCTCTGTTTGGATATGGCATTTGGATCGTAGGAAGAAGAATGAGGAGGTCAAAAACCGAATATGAGATAATGGGACGTGTCTGTTGTGTCTCTGCAGCAGAAGTGTGAGAGGAGCTACTTGAGAATAAACTACATTAGAAGCTTTGTTAGTGTAATTAGAGAGAGAGCGACTGCTGCACATCCTCTCTGTGTCCTGGAGCTCACCCTGCACTGGGCTGAACTCACCCAGGGTTACAAATACACATACATAAAACATGCTCACTAGGTTAAATCCTCCAGCTCCAGTAGTCCTGAGCAAGTCGAGCATCAACATCTGGAGATGGGTTCCCGGGCGCTGTTACTACGGCGACCATTGCTCCTGACGTAAGCATTCGCAGCATCAGGATGGGTCAAATGCAGAGGATTGAATTGCCCTACGGGGATTAATAAAGTGCACCTTTACATTTACCTTTAGCCACACCAATCATAGACTTTGCTAGTCCACGAGCAATGAAGCCCAATAGGTAAGTGCTAATGGATGAAATTTTGCTCCAACTCTGACTCCTCTTGACCTATATGAAAAGTAAACTGCTCTAGCTCAATAACTGTTTGCATCACAACCACCATTTTGGCTTTAATGTTTGCGTTGTTAAGAGCTTTCTATATTGCGGGTTTTTATATTTTGATCTTCTCTACCCATAGCAGTCAATAATAACAGAGATCCATAGCAACAGGTCAGCCAATTATGGCACAAAGCTAAAGCCATCTGAACAAATGCCCATATAAGGAAATGTTGTTTTTTGTTCCAATGCGCATCTGTCAAAATTTTTACTGAATTTTAGGTTTTTTTTAAATATGCATAGTTCTAGGTTTCATTCACAGAGCATTAAAGGCAACAAACAGTCTATGGAACCAGTACCTTTCTTCCCCTAAAGTGCTGGTTCTGTACTGGTCCTGGACTGATCCTGGTGCTCGTTACTATAGCAACACAATGTTTACAATCAGCCATTAGCAATAAGCTTTTCAACAAACTGTTTTTCCTGTATTTAAGTTATATTCACCAGTTTTAGCTCTTCTTAAATGTGTGTAAAGGTAACAACCGCAGCCATTATTTAAATCACTTGTGTTTTAACTGGTGGAAAACACACTTTTTGAGGGATTTTTCGTGTAGTTTGAGAAAAATAGAAGTCCTAGTGTTAACGGGTTTCATGAAGTTAACCATTTTGTTGTTGTTCGCTCTCTCCTCATCTAAAATTACACCTGTCGATTCTATGCAAGTAGAAACAAAAAATCTGGATTATGGATGAGCCCAAAACGCTGAAGAAGAAGCTGTAACATCATCCATAGTGTCTGAAGGGGGTGGATTTTATTTGTTGTTGATTTTCTCTTGTCTCTTTCACAGAACGCAGATCAATTTCACGGTGGCCATCGACTTCACAGCCTCCAACGGTGAGTGATTACAACAGTGCAATGTGTGTCTGCGGGTGGGAAATGTGATTAAAGGGAACCAGAATATCAATGTTAGCAGGTCTAATATCATCATGAACTGGTTAAAGCTGGGGTACCGGACCTTCCAACCCCCACGAATAGTCCATGTCCGACAGAAAGTCTTGTAAAAAAAGGGTTAGCATTGTGTTTTGAACAAATCAGACCACAATATTCTGTCTTTATCGTGTGTTGTAAGCAAAATAGCAGACAAATGGAAAAAGTAATGCAAACAAGAACTGGGCTGGGCAGGACCTCGTCTGGGTCTGACTAAAAGGACAGTGGTCCAGGACACTCAACATTCAACAACATCTATGGACATTTCTCAACATTTATGGACATTGGTCATCCGCCCCGTGTGGACCAATGGCTCTGTGTTTTTATCATTGCATTTCTTGTGTTTAATTCTCTGAACTGTGTTGGCGAATTCAACGGTTTTGTAAAGTCCTCTGAGATATAGGGCTATACAAGAATACATTGGATTGAATTGGGCTGGAGGCTGAGGCAAAAACGGGAGTTAGGCAGAGTCTGGACCAAAAAACAAATCTGAGTCAAAAAGAGAGAAAAACAATTAACGAGCAAATCTACAATTCTAGAAACAAGCCGAGGAGTAATACCGTGAAGGATTTACTGACACATTGTGGAGGGTGAACCTGGACGGAAGGCTCTCTGGTAAATGTATTATTCAATTCAGGATAAAAAAAAAAAAAAGTTTAGAATACTAACTTTTTTTTTTTTTTTCATACTTTATTGTGTCATCTTCATTAGTTCACACTGTTTTCTTAATACATACAGCTTAACCAGACACATTTTAATTTCTTTTTTTTTTGTTCCCTTCTTTTTTTTACCCCACTATGCTCCCCTTGTGTCAAAAAAAAGGGATAAAACAAAACAAAGCAAAACAAATACATAGACAAATAAAGAGAAAGTATGTATATATACTGTACACAAAAATAATATATATATACAAAAAAATAAAATAAAACAATATTAAAGTAAACTTACTTACTTTTTACAAATCTGGTAAAACACTGATTTTTTTGTGTGCTAAATCGGTAACTAAATTCTCACATAGCAACTACCCAGCAACGAACGAGCCAATCAACCAAGTGAGCTAGAATTGGTACAGTTAAAGCGAACCAGACCAAAAAAAGTGAACTTTGTGTGTGAATGTGTGTGTGTGTGTGTGTGTGTGTGCGTGTGTGTTTGTGTTGCAGGAAACCCGTCCCAGTCCACATCGCTGCACTACATGAACCCTTACCAGCTGAACGCCTACGCCATGGCGCTTAAGGCCGTAGGCGAGATCATCCAGGACTACGACAGCGATAAGATGTTCCCCGCTCTGGGCTTCGGGGCCAAGCTGCCTCCGGACGGACGCGTGTCTCATGAGTTCCCCCTGGTGAAGCTCCACTTTCATTAGAATTATGTACCGTACACGACACAGACTGACCGTATGGAGTAGGTCTGTTTGAACCTTCCAAAAAATGATTTATCGTTTTATTTTCTCTTTGCAGTAAAACACTGCAAACCACTTTGGAATACATTTGCAAAAGTCCCCAGTGTGCACAAGACAAGAAACACATTTAAATATGCAGATTTGCCAGCTTAATTTGTATCAAAAATATCGTAAGTAAAACAATTATGATGTATGAAGTAAAAACAATAAAATATCAGTTGTCCATTACAAAGTGCAATCCACAAAGTACAGCTACAAAACAATGGCCCCCCTCTTGTAAAGCGCTTTGTGACACTGGTCTATGAAAGGCGCTATGTATACATAAAGAGTACTTACTTGCTTACTTGCTCTTGGACAGTTATTCCAATGTGGTTTTACTGGAAATGGCAAATGAACTTAATCTGAATAAAAATATACATACATGAAAAAAAATAATGCAGAATACAAGTACTCTAAAATATGTTCATTTTATTTCAGATTGAAAATAACTACAATATTTTAAAACTAAATCCAGGTAACTAAAATACATAAACAAGAAAAAAGCTCTAAAGATTGAATTTTTTTTTTTTAAGGGGGGAAAAGTGTATAAAGGCTGAAATGCCATATAGGCCACACAGTGTCTCTGCCGATGCCTGAAGCAATTGAACCTGTGTCTTGTCTCGCTCTAAAAGCACAAGTGTTGGTTTAATGTCTGTAACGTCCCTCTCTCTGTGACCTCAGAACGGGAACATGGAAAACCCGTACTGTAACGGGATTGAGGGCATCCTGGAGGCCTACCACCAGAGCCTGAAGACCGTGCAGCTCTACGGACCAACCAACTTCGCCCCCATCGTCAACCATGTGGCCAGGTCAGAGCTCACACGCCATCACACCACCTGTAACTCTACTATTGTAATGTTATGTAATTGTGTGTAACTTTTGCTGCCTCTTGCCCAGGACTCCCTTGAAACTATAGGTTCTTTATCTTTATGGGACTTTCCTGGTTGAATAATGTGTTGTTTTTTTTTACTGCAAATGGCAAATAAACTGAATCTGAATAAAGGTTAAATGACAACAAAAAAAAGTGTGTGTTTAAAGGACAACTCACCCTCAAATCCACTTTTTTTTGCTGATAAACTGTATAAATGAGTGTCCAATAGTGTTGTCCACATATCCTGGTCATATTTTTGTCACTTTGGTGCAAATTAGTTGAAAGTTAAACTTTCTGCCTAAAACCGTCTGTGAGGCGCCATCTGCTGGTGACCTGTATTACTACATTTGAATTTTGAATCTGGCGCCAACACTGGCGCGGCAGCAAGACCTGACGTCTGAAGCAAGACCTGACGTCAGCAGCCCCCCGCCCAGAGCAATGTAAACGGCCCAGTCTCGTTCACGCCCCCTTTAGTCCTCCAGGCTACGCCCATTTAGAGGAAGATTTGAACAGGAAATGTGAGTGACGTAAGCTCCGAGGAGCGGGGGTGAGAATAGGGTTGCCAACTTGAGAACAAAAAAATAAGGGACACCATTTGGGTGGATCGGGTTGAGCACTTTTTAGTCCTAATTTCAGTCTACACAGTAATCATGGAATTTCACAATCACAGTTTTTAGATTGTAATTTATTGACTACATATAAAAAAAAAATCCTTAGTCAAAAATAAAATTGAATAAATAGGTGGAACTCTGGCTGGTTAAGGACTTAATGCATTCTTATTAGTAATATAAAAAAATTAAAAAATATAAAAAAGACAAATACTGTAACATACATTATTTATGAATGTTACAGTAAAGACCAATTTCTGTAAAAGCAGATAAAAAAAGAAAAACATATGTATTCATTAAAAACTCACAAATCAGCCTGTAGTAGTTCATCTACTAGTTCATGTAGTAGTCATCATTATTTATATTGTCTGAGTTTTGTGCAGGTTTGTGGCTTCAGTAAAAGCTATTGTTCGTTTACAAAGCTGGTCTGGATATTTGTTGACGGTCCCTAAGTGCTTTTCTCGGCGCTTGCAGTGCATTGGATTCAAAGGATTTCTCTGCATTAAAACAGCGCATTGAATTTGTAAAACATTGAGATGATCATTTTAGCACAATTACTTTTGTTTAACAAAGTAGCTTTCGTGAGCTATTGACCGCGGAAGTCCGAATTTGGGAAAATGACGCTACTTTACCAAACTTCTGACGTGATGGTGCTGCGGGCACGGCCCACGCTGGCGCCTGTCAACATTAAACCAACGTCTGAGATCAAGCCTACGCCCCTTTGACACTGATTGGCCGAAAGGTAGATGCTTCAACTGTGATCATTACTGTGTGTGTGTGACATGCAGTGAGTGAGTGATGCATTTGAGGTGGCTCTGAAAATACGGGACAAAAGCCGTCCCGTATCAGTTCAATACGGGACGCACATAGTTTTTCTATAATACGGGACAATTCCGTATTTCAAGGGACGGTTGGCAACCCTAGGTGAGAACCACTTTAAGCTGGGGTACCTAAATTTCAAACCGCAAAAAAAAACTTTGTAGTAAAACCCAAGTCAGTATAGTTTCTCGCTCTCAAAACAGCTTCACTGTCACTAATCATGTGTTTTTGGCCTCTGTAGGGTTTTTGAACACTACAGGAAAAGTGGATTTTAAACGGACAGATTTTCATATAATGCCGTTTTTCCACAGTCCTAGCACGGTACGTTTTGACTCTACATGGCGCGTCATGGCCCAGTTCGCGTGCTTTTCCATCAAAAATAGTACCCCCAGTATGTCCTCAGCGTTGTCAGACCACGTCATTTACGTGTGACGCGTAACTAGTACTGGTGCGATGCATGGATTTATTATAATATCAGAGTAAGTGTTTAATAGAAAATTCAGCACAGCACGAGTAGTTTTTGAAAAAGCTTATGTCTTAAAAGAATGACTCAGACACTGTGAAGTCAATGGTGCTGACTGCTCTGTGCAATCTGAATGGGACTGGGACATACCTGTAGCAACAGCAGCCTGTGTAGCAGAGGAGGAGGGCTGCATGTCTGAGGATACTGCTAGGCTATAGCTAATGCTAGCGCTAGCTCGAGACTCAGCTCACTCACTAACTCTGGATTCCAAAGCTACTACTATACTACACTTAACACATCTATCACTGCCATCAGAGGAGGATCCAGGGTTTAAACTCGTCATATGGCAACTCGAGCAGTAAAGGACCGAGGGAGAGACAGCGGCAGCCATAGGGGTAGCGAGTTAGCGGCTAGGCTAGGTTTACAAAGTCAAAAGTACGTATGTGTGAGACCAGGTCCAGGCCAGGTCCAGGCCAGGTCCAGATGAGGAGAACACTCCGGTCACTCATTACTCGTTGGTAATCTCCACACTTATGGAAAGGGATTCTCATACAAATAAACACACGACAACATAAGTACAAGCACTAAACAGAATAACACGTGGATACTGCAGATAATACGAGATAAAGCACAGTAGCACAGGGAGGACGTTAGCTTCTGCGTGTGGACCTCTTCCACCGACCAGGACCAGGACTTTTGGGGCTTTCTGTGCAATTCCATTTCTCTGGAGTGAGGAGGACGTAATGTAGCCGAAGCAGAGCCGAGCAGAGCAGCCTGTTTTAAAGATGGCGGTTGAGTTGTTTTTCCCAAAGGGTCAGATGTCGCTTCCAGTGACGACACTTGTTGACCAATCAGTGTAAGGCAGTGGGCCGACGTGACGTCATGGCACGGGTACTATGGGGATGGAACCAAGGCTGAGGCAGTACGGAAAAGTACTCAAATCTCCCATTCCATCCACTAGTGGAAACTCAAAACAACCGTGCTGAAGCGTACTGTACTGTACCGTACTGATACTGTGGAAAAGCGGCATAAGATAGACTTTATTTGGATGTGGAGTTACCGCACATGTTTGTCTTAGAAGTTCCTTATATTAGCATGGTCGGATCTAAAAACAAGGGCTTGCTTTAGATGAGGAACAATGTTGTATCATGGTTAAAAGCTCAAAGCTAAAAAGGTACATTCTGCTACATATGTCTGCTTTAACCTCTCACCAGGCCCTGGACTCCATAGGCATTGACTGCTTTTAGTTTTAAGAGTAATTATTACGTATTTACCTTGTTTGTCTTCGTAACTCTGTGAGCTTTTCTTTATCAGCATTTGGTCTTTAACTTTAGCATGTTGTTGCTGTGTTTCAAAGTGAGTAAAGAGAACAATCTTATAAATTACCTTTGATATATCTGGTAAAAATAAGATCTTTTGTGGGGAAATGGACAATAGAATGATAGTTAAATTTAAATAATAATATAAATCCTCAAAAATCAGCACATCAGAGAAATTAGGAGTTGGTTTGTATTGAGATTCGGGTATTTGTGCATAATTGTTTTTTATTAATTCATGATTAAGATAATACAAACTGAAAAGACATGGAATTTTGTCATTAAGAATAAAAAAATATAAAACTGTATGTGTGATTTTGTTCTTTTGAATACGATTTTTTTTGTATGCTTGCATTTTCTTTTTGAGAATACGAATTTCAGCAGTCAGCAAACTGTCAATACGACGTCACTGCTCACAGACATTAACAATCGAGCCTGCGCAGAGTTGATCATGGCAGAGGGCAACAACATTAACAATTTGGCTCAAAATCAGCTATATAACTAAATTTGATCATTTTGGTCGTAAATAAATGTGTACGAAATATTAATTCCATAAAATGTGTTCATAAGATGTTTCTTGTCCCTCTCTAGAAACGTTTTTTTAGGCAGTGTTTAGTTAAGGCTAGCTTCAATGCTAGTTTTACAGCTTACCATGTTATTTTAAAACCAACATTTTTACATTCTTAGCATTTACATTTTATGAAGCCTTTGCCCCAAATCAATGTGGTTAAAGTGTTGATACCAGTCCCAACCCTCCAGATTATTCATAGTTTGCACTGTTACTGCCCCTGAGCAATATGGAGAACACCTCTGTGCTTTACTCATCCTCGGTTGTTAGACGTAGCAGACCCTGTCCCTGTGGACCTCAATCTTATATTTGTACATTTGACACATTACTTTTACTCACTAGTTCAGTAACGCTAGTTAGTCTGTTGTTTAGACTAAAATAAATGCATTTATTTCTGTAGACTAAAACAATATAAGGATAAGAAAATAAAACTAGCATTGGAGCTAACAACACTGCCAAAAAACCTTTAGAGGGACAAGAAACATCTTCTTATGAACACATTTATGGAATTAATATTTCTTACACATTCATTTACGACCAAAATGATAAAATATAGTTATATACCTGATTTTGAGCCACTTTATTTATTCTTAATTACAAAATTCCATGTCTTTTTAGTTTGTATTATCTTAATCATGAATTAATAAAATATGTTTATGCACAAATACCAATAAATATGCACACATTTTTTTTTAGACATGCACGTTTTTATTGACAGTAACCTTACCCCATAGTCTCTCACTATCTCTTGCCATCGCTTCCACCAGCCAAACATGAAATATCCTCTTGTGATTTTTATGAACTGTCTCGGTGCCAAACATCTCCTCGGGCGCCGGTCGTTACCATATGAAAAGGTGGATCTGGGCAGAGAGCTGCGAGAATGACTTTTATCTGTCAAACAGGCTCCACGCTTCGCCACACTCATTCAAAAGAGCAGCGACGTGCGCGGATGTCAAATGTTGCTTTTGAAATAATCGTGCTTTGATTTATGAATTGATGGAATGCGTTATTTATATCGGTTTTGATCCAGGGGGACGCGAGAAATCTACTTTTCACAGCTTTTGACCGTGTTATAGTAGTTTTAGCCAGTGACACACAGCTGTTTATAGATTCATCTGCATATTCCTCTCACCACCACCGTGACCATGAGGATCTTAAAGCAGCAGGCATTTTTGGGGGAAAAAATATCCACTGTTTGCTAACTTCATCTGCGGCCTCAGTGGTCTGTGTTGATGGTGACAAAGGGGTTAAGTGCAGAACGATATGGCAAGACTTGAATATGAATATGAATTTACGATTACGATTTTGATTATAGAAGGAGTGGACAGGTGGCTGAGTGGTTAGCATTCTCGCTTGGCTGCAAGAAGGGCCATGGGTTCGAATCCTGATTGGAATAAGGTTTTTCTGAGTGGAGTATGCATGTTCCCCCATGGTTATTTCAGATTGAAAATATTGAAATGAACTACAAATATTTGAAAACTAAAAATAGACGATAATAATGAAAAATAACAAAAATAGACACAAACAAGGTCTACAGATAGATTTTTTTTTTTTTTGCCAGGGGGATGTGTATAAAAGTGTAAGAAGGCTGAGTTGAGTTTGCATATTCTCCCAGGATTCCGCCAGGTGCTCCGGTTTCCCATTCCACTAAAAACAGATACAAAAATCAGAGCTTCAACATCAGGAGGTGGGTCCCCTGTTACTATGGTGACCACTGCTCCTGACCGAAGACTTAACGACAATAAAGGACGGGTCTAATACATCATACATACACAAATACATAATAGACACTTTTTCTGTTGTTCTCTTCAGTGCGGATGCCACCGATAGTGTCTGCCTTAATGTGGAAGAAGCCGATTAAAGCTAACGTGAACAAGCTCCACAGGGAAGCTACATTGGGAGCTAAATTCTCACCTAGCAACTACCCAGCAACCAAAGAGCCAATCAACCAAGTGAACTAGATACGGTCTAGTAAAAGCAAACCACAAGAGTTAACTGGCCTGTCCTCTTTAAAGATGATGGAGAGATTTTACTTTGGTATTTCATAATTTAGTGCATGGAATCATGTCTGTGATAAATGACTTGAGAAAAAGAAACTATCCCCCATGTGTTGTGGTATGTGTTTGTAAACCAATCAGACGGAAATATTGATGGAGTTTCTGCTTGTTTTGTTGTTGCAGATACGCCGCCGCAGTCCAAGATGGCTCCCAGTACTTCGTCCTCCTCATCATCACCGACGGAGTGATTTCAGACATGGCACAGACCAAAGAAGCCATCGTCAACGTAAGAAACTGTCCTATTTACTAACACTAACTCCAAATTCACCCCAGAAAAGTTATTAGAAAAACCTCGAAGTGTCCATGTGTTTAGTTTGGTTCATAAGACAGAGATATGAACACTTTATATCAACATATAAAGAAGAAATATTATGCCATATCCGTGATGATCATTTTGCGGTAGCAAATTTTCAAACCACAACGATACAACTATGTCATTGGAATCCTCAATTTCTGGATCTCAAAACACACATATATGTTTGGCCTCTTTCACATCAGTTTTTTCAGAGAGAAGAGTGAAAACCAGTGAGAACCACCCTCACGCAGCCAATCAGCTCTCAGTCTAAGGATTCCAATATTGACTCACAGGGCACTTTCTTACACACAAGATGAAGACAACATGAAGATAGAAATAGGTAAAATAGGTTCCCCAGCGTTATCTATGTTAAATAGTCCAAGATCCAAGATAAAGCACACAGTTAACACAATCCCTTTTTTTCAAAATTGGAGCCAATACTTTTCTTTTTAAAGAACAAACTGGCTCAAAGTGTAACTGGGGGGAGGGGGGCAGAGCACCTTGACAGATTGGGCAGGGCACCATGAGACTTGGTTCAAATAATCTAAAACAATAATCATGAGCCAAAGGTGTCTTAAGCACCGTTTCCACCAGCCCTACTTGGCCGAGCTGTACTCTACTCTACTCTACTCTAGGCAAGGCAAGGCAAGGCAAGGCAAGTTTATTTATATAGCACAATTAAATGCTGAACAAAACAAGAAAGCATTAAAATCATAAATAATCACAGAACATTAAAAAGAAAGATAAAAATATAAAATCCCTCAGTTGTATGCACAGCTAAACAGAACTGTCTTTAACCTGGTTTTAAACATTGTCATTCTCTACTCTACTCTACTCTACTCTACTCTACTCTACTCTACTCTACTCTACTCTACTCTACTCTACTCTACTCTACTCTACTCTACTCTACTCTACTCTACTCTACTCAGCTCTGCTCTGCTCTACCTGTTTGAGTTTCCAATACGCTTTACTATCTGGTACTGTATTCTGGCAATTTACCCACAAAAAACAGTATCCATGGAAATTCTGTAGTAACCCTGGCTTCCAGCAGCATTCTAGGCAATCACGGCCTGGATAGAACCAAGGCCAAGCAGGTACTAAAAACACCTGGTACCAGTTAAACAAGGGCAATGGAAACCCTTCCAATTGGGAGTATAGGGCCAAGTGGAAACTGGGCTCATCTGACAGTGATTAGCCAGATTGATGCTGGAAGCAGGAGTATCCCCAGATACTGGTATGTTGTTGATAGGTTGCCAGATACAAAAGCATAATGGAAACACAACCAGGTAGAGAAGAGCCGAGTAGAGTAGAGTAGGGCCAAGTAGGGCTGGTGGAAACAGGGCATTAGATAAACATATGGCACATTTTTGTCTTCTTTAAAAACAAAATATATTTCACTTTTCTTTACTTGTCCTCACAAAGTTCATTTTCGGTCATTTTAACATTTTCTTCACATTGTTGCAGTTCTTAAGTAGCTCAATAATCAAATTAAACTCAAATGTCCTCCACTATTCCTCCCTGCGCAGAGTCTTTCCATAAAAATCCAATGGAGTCAGAGAACGCCTTTGAGAGCGGCCATTTTCCGACTCTTCTGTGTAATTACTCCACTTTGCGAGTGTTTTTGTCTCTGCCGCGGCGCACTTATCTGCCTCTCAAGCTAACGCGCCTGTTGGTGCTCTTACATCATGGTTTCATATTTAGAGAAATTGTTGGAGACTGTTTTTCTGCAGATGGGATCAGCACTCGCATTCATAAACAAGACGGAGTTTCTCTGCAAAAGTTAATCTGAAAACTATTTGAAAACTTTGCAACACTTTGGAAACAAAATTATTCATCTGGGGAAGGGTTTCTGAAGCCCCTCTACTCTACTCGGCTCTACTCTCCCCCAACTGGGCGTGTTTCAACCAGCCCTGTTTAACCTAAAAAGTTACAGGTACTTTTTCCTACCTGCTTGGCCCTTGTTCCAATCATAGACCACTATATTAGGAGTGGACTGAGTGCTGACGTCGCCAGTGATGCCAAAGAAGCTAATTTGAACATAAGATAACATAAGCTGGAGCCAATTTCCTTATATGGGCATTTGTTCTCTCAGGCTTAGTTAGCTTCACAGGGTTAGCTTCACGCTGTAACAGGGGCAGATGTGTTTACCAAGATGGTTGATAAGGCAAGTTGGAAATTCCCCTGCAAATCAAGGCCTCTGATTGGTCCGTCGTTCTTTATTTATCATGAAAAGTAACACATCTCTATTGAAGGAAGAACCAAGATTCAAATAATTCAAATCCAAAATGTTAACCTTGTTTTGCAGTCTCTGAGCTCATCATCTTGCCCTGAGAAAAAAATCACTTCCCTCAGAAATATTCTTTTAAGAAATCAAAGAGATGAGGCCCAGTCCTTTGGCTGGTCTAGGGGTTCACTCCTTGGATAAGACTTCTCTCACTCGTTTGGGGGTTTTGTGTGATATCTTTGTCGTTAGTTTGGCTGAAGAACACACTTTTAATACTCTGGTTAAGGATACATGAGTATATTCAAGGATTAATATATCATCGTATTGACATATGTAATTACACAATCACGTCAAATAAAATTGACGCCGACCCAATGTTTCATGTCTTATGTGTGTAGATCCATACAAGTTCAATATGTCAAAGAGAAGTGATATTCTAAAGATCATGTGCAAGGGCAAAAACTAACATAAATATATAATTACATTTCAATTCAATGCAATTGCGTACAGCCCTAAATCACAACAGTGGTCGTCTCAGATCAGAGAATCAAACAGTTCGAACACAGGAAATGCAACAATAAGAAATACTTTTTGAATGTCTAGTATATTGATAGATGTAAAAATAGGTATTACAGTATGCCATAGAGAGCGGGATGACCAGTGTCCAGAAATGTTAATAAATGTCCTTAAACGTCCTGGATCATCACCACTCTCCTTAGACCCATTTCTCCTCAAGACATTTCTCAGCCCACTTCCTCCACGTCAGTAACGATATGTTGAAAACTCTGCAACTTCACCACATCTGCAATGAGAAGTCCCATATTCCATCGCATTTTCTCTCACGTTCATAAACAATGTGTCAAAGTATTTTTCTGTGTGCTAAAGTTTCAGGATAAACAACAACTTTTCCACATGTTTTGTGAGTTTCCAGTCCTCAGGGTTAAACGTGCGACTGATGTGAAAATGTGAAGAGGAGTTTTTTGGGGTAAATAAAACCTGCATTTGTGTGTGGGTCCCGCCTGAGGATTGTCACTCCTGCTCTGAACTCAGCAGACTGGGTTTAAAGGGAATTTGCGACTGTTAGTGAGATGCACAGAACAGCCACACCTTCCTTTTAAGATCTTGCCTGCTGCTCGGCCTTCTGGGAAATGGAGTCTCTCGCCTGGACCGCACAGAGGAGAGGCGTTTGTAGTCTTTGCCATGTTTTCTGCATGTCCGTGTTTGTGCACGTGTATCTGCGTGTGTGTGTGCGTGCATCTACGTGTGTGTCGAGGTGTGTGTTTGCGTGTATGTATGTGCGTGTATCTGCGAGTGTGTGTCTGTGTATGTGTGTCTGTTTGTGTGTGTGCAGCAGATCACAATGCCTCTTGTTTAAACTGTATTTGTAATAATGTATTTTTTTAGTGCTGTATTCGACCAAAAATATACTCATTGACTTTTGACTCATTGACTCTCTAAAAATTTTACATTTTGTATCTGAACTGAACTTTATTAAGATTCGTTTCAGTTCGGTGGCTGGGTCCTTCTTTGCTTTTTCTTGTGATAAAATGTCTCGGATCATCACTGTCTTTGGATTCTCCTGCATCTGCAAGGAGCCACTCAACAAAAAAACCCAATGGGAAAATAGATTGGATTATGATTTGATTTTCACTGTACAGCAAACAGAAGTATTGCACAACTTCCAAGGATTACAGAAAATCCCCTTTTTTGAATTTCAGACGTGACTAACAGGGAACTCCACTTTTCTTTGTTTCGGCCTGTGTGGTTACGTTCTCAAACCAGGAGCTAAAACTGAAAGGGACTCTGCACAAACTCTCTCTCCAACATTCACACACATCACACACTCTCGCACACTCACACTCTCACGCATATCAATTTATTTATTTTTATCAATTTTATTTATAGAGCCCTTTTCAACACTCAAGGCGACCAAAGTGCTTCACGGAGCCTTTACTTTTCTTTACCCTTGTAATGACTGAAGTAATTAGGGGTGGGATTAAATAAGTGTTCACTTCTTCCCACTCCTTTTCGAGCATCCATAAGTGTTATGTTAGTATCACTCACTCTTTTTGTTATTACTCCTTTGTTATATTTTGTACATGTACCTAAGTTGCTTGAACTAATTATTTCTATGCCCGCTTACTTGCTTGGAATGAATAAAAAAAAATAAAAAAATAAAAAATTACATAAAATCGATTTAAAACATTTATGCACTAAAACAATAAAACATTTAAAAAAGCATTTAAAAAGTGTCAGCTGCTATTGAGTGATAAAAGTGTTAAAAGCCAGTCTGAATAAATATGTTTTGAGCCTCGATTTAAAAAGGCCAAAATCAGTAAGGACACGCATATCAGGGGGCAGCTTGTTCCAGAGTCTGGGTCCAGCGACTTAGAAGGACCGGTCTCCCCAGTGTTTGGACCTGGTCCTAGGTACTTCCAGGAGGAGTTGAGATGAGGACCTCAATGATCTGCCTGAGTCACGAACAGACAAAAGTTTGGACAAGTACGAAGGGGTGAGACCATTGAGGGCTTTAAAAACAAAGAGTAACATTTTAAAATCAACTCGAAACTGGGGTGATGTGTTCACGTCTGGGCGCGTTTGTTAAAAAACGAGCTGCAGCATTTTGCACTAACTGGAGACGATCAAATCAAGACTGGGGAACTCCAAAATAAAGGGCATTACAGTAATCAATTCTTGAACTGATAAAAGCGTGGATCGTTTTTTCCAGGTCGGAGCAGTTTAAATAAGGCTTAACCTTGGTTAAAATACGGAGCTGATAAAAACTTGACCTAACCACACTGTCAATATGTTTGTCAAAACAAAAAGAATGATCAAAAACCCACACACTCACACACTCTCCAATATTCACACACAACAAAATCTCTCACACACACTCTCACTCTCACACACTCCAACACTCACACACTCTCACAGACTTACACAAAGACACACTCTCTCACACACACTCACACTCTCTAATACACACCCACACACACTCTCACACACTCTCACAAACTCTCACACACCCTCATACACTCACACTCTCACACACACACATACACTCACACACACGCACACACACAGACACACACACTCTCACACTCACACACACACACACTCACACACACAGACACACACACTCTCACACAGACACACACACGCACACACACATACACTCACACACACAGTGAACACCGTCGCTGAGCTCCACTCGGCGGTTTCTCCTCTGCTCGCAATTCATTCATGTCGCGGTGTTTCTTCTGCAGCGCCGCGTCGCCCGGAGCCTTCGCCGTCCTGTTTAAGAGCGTGCGCTTTGTTACGTAACGCCGCACGCCGCGTGGAAATGAAACAATCGCGTTCTTTGAGCTTCGCCGGCCGTGCTCCCTCAGCTCACACTGGCTCCAGACTAGAGCGGTTTCAGCCCATACAATATTTGGAGCTAATATTCCCCCGATTGTAGTTTCATCTTAAAGCAACAGAGTCCAATTCAATTCTATTAATGACTATATTGACCTTTATCACAACAACAGGACTCTACGCAGTTTTCGATTCACCAGCAACAGATCAGAGAATGTTTGAACACAGGAAATGCAATAATAACAAACACAATGGGGGATGTTGATAATTGTCCTGAATTTTGACTCTTCTGCATTGACAAGAAACAACTACAACAATAAAGGAAACATTTTGGGAAAGCCCATATTGAGAGATATTTTGGATCTGCTCCTATGGACGGAAAGGCTGTAAATCCAGGACTGAGGCTGTAGAACCAGGACTAGCCTCAGTCCTGGTTCTACAGCCTCAGTAGATCCAAGATGAGGCTTGAAATACTTAATAATAATAATAATACTTCATGCTTAATAATTCTGTGATGTCATCATTTCCAAAACAACTCTAAACATCTCAATCTGGTGTTTTATCAGTGCAACAAAACAGTAGTAATTCCACCAGAAAAAGACAAAAAAAGAACTTTCAATCTGCGCGCTCCAGACAGAGGGAGGGACGACCGTAATTCCCCTGCCCACCGGGTTTCAAGCTCAAGTTTGGGACTGAGCCTTTATTTTTAGTCCACTTTGATGTTTAAATGTGTGTGAATCTAACATCGTCCTCGTCCTGAGTGGGTGAGGAAGGAGGAAAAAGCCAGCACAAAGAAAAGCCAATGGAGCGGAGAGATGAGAGAGCGCGGCGTGGGCGGACGGGCTGACATAATCACACTCACACACGCTCCGATCCGCCGTAACGCATTTGTCTTGGGTCGCCGTCAAAATTCTCCGTCGAGTGACTTATGCAGGCGCCACACGTGTCTTTTTAGGGAAGGAGACGTTAAAACATCCATAATTGTGCAATGCGGAAAACTGGTTTTGTCTTAGCGATTAGCGTTAGCGATGTCATTACCTTGACTTCTTCTAGTCTGCACTGAGTCGCTCTAATTTTACCTCTTGGTTTGAGAACATAACAACACAGACAGACTTCTTTAGTCACAGGCACACGTTTTGTCTCTGGAATTTCTATATGGTCTCTCTCGGGTCTCTCTATATGGTCTCTTTTTATGGTCTCTCTATATGGTCTCTCTTTATGGTGTCTCTCGGGTCTCTCTGTGGTCTCTCTCTATGATCTCTCTATGGTCCCTCTCTGGTCTCTCTCGGGTCTCTCTATGGTCTCTCTATGGTCTCTCTATGGTCTCTCTCTTTTCTCTCTCTGGTCTCTCTCTGGTCTCTCTATGGTCTCTCTGTGGTCTCTCTGTGGTCTCTCTCTGGTCTATCCTTGGTCTTTCTCTACACGATCCAGGACTGAGGCTGTAGACCCAGGACTGAGGCTGTAGATCCAGGACTGAGGCTGTAGTTCCAGGTCTGAGGCTGTAGATCCAGGACTGAGGCTGTAGATCCAGGACTGAGGCTGTAGTTCCAGGTCTGAGGCTGTAGATCCAGGACTGAGGCTGTAGCTCCAGGACTGAGGCTGTAGATCAAGGACTGAGACTGTAGACCCAGGACCCAGGCTGTAGAACCAGGACTGAGGCTGTAGATCCAGGTCTGAGACTGTAGATCCAGGACTCAGGCTGTAGATCCAGGACTGAGGCTGTAGCTCCAGGACTCAGGCTGTAGACCCAGGACTGAGGCTGTAGACCCAGGACTGAGGCTGTAGTTCCAGGTCTGAGGCTGTAGACCCAGGACTCAGGCTGTAGATCCAGGACTGAGGCTGTAGACCCAGGACTCAGGCTGTAGATCCAGGACTGAGGCTGTAGATCCAGGACTGAGGCTGTAGCTCCAGGACTCAGGCTGTAGACCCAGGAGTCAGGCTGTAGATCCAGGACTGAGGCTGTAGACCCAGGACTGAGGCTGTAGTTCCAGGTCTGAGGCTGTAGACCCAGGACTCAGGCTGTAGATCCAGGACTGAGGCTGTAGACCCAGGACTCAGGCTGTAGTTCCAGGTCTGAGGCTGTAGACCCAAGTCTTAAAACATTTTCTTTGGTTCATTTATTGATAAAACACTATTAGATCAGTTTATTCTTATCAAAGCAGAAGCGTGGGCCCAGTATACGGCTGCGCCAAAAAGTTTTAGATTGAAAGATTAAAATCTCAATTTTGTTTATCGTGACGTGCATTTTAATCAAAAGATGACAATCATGTGACAGTAGCTGCACAAGAGGCTGAAGAGTTTCTCTCACTGAAAAAATGCAAGACCTCTGTACCTCTTCACTCACATTATTTTTGGCATCTAAAAAGTATATAATTGAGGGTTTTTCACTGTGTCATTTCATGTCTAAGGATATGAAATAATGTCTTCAGCCGAAAATGTGAGGGGTAAAAAATGCTTTCCGCCTGTAACTCCCTGTGCTGCCACCAGAGGGAGGAGTCAAATTTGTGTGTTTTTTTATTTTTATTTTTTATTTGAAACATTTGAAACAGCTGCAACTACTGCCATTTGAATGTACAGAACCTCACTTCACTTGAGAAATTAACAAAATGAATTCATTAGCAATCATTTTGCTTTTATACGGCTGAAAACTGTGATGTCATCGCGGGTTAGCAACCGCTGTTCATGAAATTTGGATGAATGGATCTAAAAACACCTCCAGGTTTGTGAATGTGTGATTTTCAGGTTCATTTTCTTGTTTTGTTAAGCCTTTTTGTGTTGCCTTGTGAATGAACTGTGTTATACAAATACACTCGTGTCCGTCCAGTGTTATATCTTCAGTTTCTATTTGTTTACAAACATCATAAACATAGAAATCTTGAGTTGGTTGAACGTCAGAGGAGGTTTCCTGTGTTTTTATTCAGAACCTCGTCTTTCTTTCGCCACAGTGTTTTTCTCCATCGGTGTTTGTCAAAAAGCCCAAGTCTCTCCATGGCCTTGCACCTGAACCATCTCAGACTCTGAGGAGCACAGGAAGTAGCCTCCTGCTGGTTCCCAGAGTTAGGACTAAACATGGGGAGGCGGTGTTTCAGATTTATGCGGCTAAAATCTGGAACAATCTCACTGAAAATGTGAGACAGGCGTCTACTCTGGCAGTTTTCAGATCCAGGTTGAAACAGTTCTGTTTAACTGTCCATATGACTGAAGGATTTCAATTGTACACTTTCTAATGCACTGTGGCTATTTATGATTTTACTCTATGTGTGATTTTAATTTGGTAAATTACTTGTTATTTTATTTTGCTTGTTTTTAATCATATTTTTTTTTGTATTTTGTATCATATTTTTATGTTTATAATTTATGCCTGATGTGATGTGGGTTGTGAGGCGTTTCGTGTTGCCTTGTGTAGGGAAGGCGCTCTACAAATAAAAGTTGATTGATTGAAGAGAAAAGAGAAATAGTTTTTTTTTTGCAGCAGGTCACTAGAGAGCCCTGGTTTGTGGCTGTCAAATTGTGTTGGCCTAAAACCACATTTACAGTGACTTGAAGAAGTTCTAATACTAATACATAGTCCAAGAGGGTTAAACTTATTTTGGTTTGGGGCCGAAAGCATCTCTTAAATATTTGTTTTCATTATAGTTATTGTTTACATTGTGAAAGTATTTTGACAATACACATTTATTTGTCAATAAATGTATGTAGTTTTCTGTTTTTGAAATGTTACTTTTTTCACAGCACCCTCGATTGCAAATATACAACATAAAGTTCAACGTTTTGATTTAATGCTAACGTATGATGATTTTCTTCAACAACAAATATTTTTTATCTGGGTTCTACGAGGTGAACCTGGTGATTCTTTGTAGTTTCCTGTGATGTAATAAGTATTCTGTTGTGTTTTCCACAGGCTGCTAAACTGCCCATGTCCATCATCATTGTGGGAGTGGGACAGGCCGAGTTTGACGGTAAAACCTACAGAACTTTTCTCACTTTTTTCTCTCTCTTTGTTATTATGTATTTCTAATTATTCATTGGACAATTCAATTTATTCTTGAATAGTCTTAAATCCCAACAGTAGTTATCTCGGACGACTTAACAAACCGTTGAATTCGCCGACACAGATCAGAGAATCAAACAGTTCAAACACAAGAAATGCACTGATAAAAAAAACACATAAAGCCGTTGGTCCATAAGGGGCAGATGACCAATGTCCATGAATATTGTTGAATTTGTTAAGTGTCCTGGATCATCACAATACAGTAAAAGAGAAAAAAGAATTCACGGAAAAATGACAATGCAAATGTACATTCACTTGGTCAAAGGCTACAATCAGATTTACATTTATCTTAATTACCATCTACACCCATTACCATAATTATTCATATTTTAACCCTTAAAAGACGATGCCATCGCCAACGATGGTGGCGCACATGTTTTACAAATGATCAATTTACTCGCGAACGGTGAACGCTAGCGACTTACTTTTTTATCTCCGTAAAGTACACATTCCAGCCTTTCCGAAACTGCCTTCGGTTTGTCTCTGCTACATACGGGGGATAAACTACGTGTGCATGAAAGTCAGTCCCCCAAACGGATCTTCAAGCGGTGCCCCGTGAGTCAGGCACAGCCGCATGTGAAGTTGTTTACACACACGGGGACTCAGACAAAGATTGTCAGAGAGTGAGATGGCTCACTCCTCTGTGTTTACTTGTTGCAGCATAGGCAGCAGCGCTCAGAGGAACCAGTGGAGTTCGCATTATTGAGAATAGACAATAATAAATACAGTAAAATGATATTATGTGTATATGTATTTGTATATATAAATTTGATGGGTTTTTGTTGTTGTTGTCTTAGTTTGTTTTGTTTTACGTATTTTACAGCTGTGATACAGAAGCAACCACAGCCTCATAGACAAACTGCTTGAGGAAGGGCATCAGGAGTACAGCGTTTTTGGCTTTTATAGGAGGAATTTTGTAAAAAGTATAATAGTTACGGATTCAAATTTTTTCCCCATTATCCCCAAGACCATAAAACACATTTCTATGCAGTGTAAACGGTTGTTTATAGCATTTCATTGTGTTTTTTCAATACATTATTGTGAAATTGATTTTCCGTTTTGATTTTTTCTTTGTCTTCATGACGCCAAATTTTTTATATAATTGATATGACAGCTCTAAAATATAGATATTCTAAAACCCCAGGTTGTACTGAAAAAAACAAAGTATGACTCTTTTATGAGCAATTATACACAAAGAAAACCAGGCGAGGAAGGTGTCCCAAAATGACCCTAGACCTTGGAGGGTTAAAGGCACATTAAAATCACTGTCACAACCGTAATCTAAAACTACTACTCACTTTTTGTGTGAGTTACCCCCAATCTGCTTCTTCTGGCCAGTGTAAATTCCCTATTGTTAAATCAATATATTAGTAGCCAGCAGGAGATTATCAAGGTTTTTATTTTTTTTTTTACTTTCAATATTAATAAACACAGTGGGCGGGGATAGGTGGTAGGCAAAATTTTCTGTGCAGTGAAGCCTTGAATGCAGGACAGCACAGGCTTACTCAGTCTCTTAAGAAAATAATAATCTTTTACCAAACTTCTCACAAGAAAGCATGTAATGTAAGTCAACGATGACGACAATGAAGTAGGCTGCGTTCATGTGACATCACAACATTCTAAAGAGCCTATAGTTTCACATTGTGTTGGAGGGCAGCTGAACAATCTTTCCTGGTAACTATGGTAAATGTCAAAAGTCTTAGTTTAGAAGCTAAGAGCTATTTTTTCTCTCTCTATAGTATCGCTCTGTTCTCTCTCTGTTCTCTCTCGATGGTATCGCTCTATGGTATCGCTCTATGGTATCGCTCTATGGTATCGCTCTATTCTCTCTCTATGGTATCACTATGGTATCTCTCTGTTCTCTCTCTATGGTATCTCTATGGTATCTCTCTGTTCTCTCTCTATGGTATCGCTCTATGGTATCGCTTTATGGTATCGCTCTATGGTATCGCTCTATTCTCTCTTTATGGTATCTCTCTCTGATCTCTCTGTTCTCTCTCTATGGTCTCTTTCTCTGTTCCCTCTCTCTCTGATCTCTCTGTTCTCTCTCTATGGTCTTCCTCTCTGTTCTCTCTCTCTATTCTCTCTCTATGGTCTCTCTCTCTATGGTCTCTCTCTCTGTTCTCTCTCTGTTATCTTTCGATGGTATCTCTCAATGGTAGGGAAAGATACCATAGAGCAGGGGTGCTCACACTTTTTCAACATGCGAGCTACTTATAAAATGATCAAGTCAAAGTGATCTACCTACTACACAAATGCAAAACATATTTGATTCTAAAAATATATTGAGGATTCTTTATATCTATAATGTATGTTGGCGTACATGCAAAACCGCATGATTTATGAAATAATTAGCATCCACACATAACTGAACATCTGCGTTTTCAATGACATTCATAACATTCCAAACATGTGTGTCTCTGACGTCCTGCGTCGGGGAAAAACCACAGAAGTGGGCGGAGCTTTGATGCAGACGCTGGTACTTGTGGCACTTTAGAGTCATAGTAGAAACTCAGGGTGAAGACATATTATTATAGATCCATGGTGAAGACATATGTTTACAAGCACTGACCCCCGTCGTCAGCCCTGGTTTAATCCTGGTTTAGCTCCTGCTTTGGTTGTTCTCGAGCGTGCCTGATTACTTTGCTGCTCTCTGATGTGGAGCGAGGATGTTTGGTTCACAGCAGCAAACAGTTTTTAAGGCAGTAAGATCCATGCTTCATTGATCAGAGGTCGCATGTTTTGTTTGTTGTTGTTTTGGGAGCATACTGTGGCATGTGAAAACGCAAAACTCAGATTATCTCTGTCAGCACGCAAATGCATAAACGGATATTTTTTAATGTAATGCGATCTACCAATACTAACTTTGAGATCGACTGGTAAATCGCGATCGACGTATTGAGCACCCCTGTCATAGAGAGTATCTATGGTATCTCTCCCTGGTATCTCTCTCTGGTATCTCTCTCTGATCTCTCTTTCTGTTCTCTTTCTCTCTAGGGTCTATCTCTATTGTCTCTCTCTGTGGTCTCTGGTCTCTCTCTATGGTCTCTCTATCTCTGTATTCTCTCTAACAGTATCTCTCTCTGGTTTCTCTTTGGTCTCTCTCTGCTCTATTTCTCTCTCTGGTCTCTCACTGGTCTCTATGGTCATAACCACAGGAGACCTAATGTCAAGAAATAAAATAAAAAAGTACCAAAACAGCAAAAGCCATACCATGACATATACAAAATGAAGACTACTGAATCCATCCAACATATGAACACACTGGACGAACATCAGACCTGCTCCTACAGCGTCTGTAGGAGCAGGTCTTGCACATGGGCCGCGGGGGTGGATCCATACAGGGAGGAGCGAGAGGTTAATGAGCGGTTGTGGTTCTTCTGAGTGAAGCTGATTTGAAATTACACAGAGTACAGCAGACAGAACATCCACTCGTATTTATAGCAGCCGTCGCACTGTTATTAAAGCTGGAAATAGACAGCAATGGCACAAGGGGGCGAAGTTTCAAGAAGAAGGCCCATGAGTACAAACTGAAACTGTGTGAATGGGTAAAATGTTTAGAATCGGTTTAGGAATGTATACAGAGAGAATACGTTATTTGTTTACACGTATTGTTTATGGGGGGCCGTCTATAAGCTAATGCAGCCTCCTGGGAGTTCCCTTAAAGCACCTACAAACTTTAGAAATTAGACGTTGAAGTTTTTTAATCAAAGATAAGTGAATCTATTTGAATTGTAAGACTAAGTTCTGCTCTATAGCTAAGTTCCAGTTTGTGTGGCATATATGTGAGAAAATGAAACAAGTTGGAGAGAAGCTAATGCTAAGGGGCTAGTTGTCTAAACATGGACTCGCCAACTCTGCTTCTACAGTCATGTCACAGACTGAAGACATTTGTTGATGTTACAAAGAGACACGTCCAAAGATTTTCAGAATGCATGTGATTTTAAACAAGAGGAATCAAGGTCCTCCTCATGGTGATGGCGTTATGCTAGTTTGACCTTCAGATAAATAAAACATCAAGAGGAAAATAGCCAGCAATCTCATTTGTATGTTTTTGAATATTGTTACCTCTTTAAGACATCTTCATGAGTGGATATTGAGATCACAGAGAGAGAGCAGAGAGAGACCAGAGAAAGACTTGAGAGAGAGACCACAGAGAGAGAGAGATACCATAGAGAGAAACCAGAGACAGAGAGAGCCAATCAACTCTCAGACCAAAAGGGTCAAATAGTGACTCCCTGGACTCTTGCAAAAGATAACATGTTTTGTAATAAGATGCAGACAATATTCTACTTTTACAAGATTCACACAAACTGTTTTTATGAAAAATTATGTATCCCGGATTTAAAATGATGTGCAACAAAGATTTGGAAAAGACAGCTCACTTCATAACTGTTTTCTAACCTGGCTTTGATCAGTTCACGTTACAGTTTAGGGAAAAACTGTAAAAACCTCCCAAAACTATTATCCGTGGGGGGAAAAAACATTATTGAGTTGAGTGGATTTGTGTAAAACTCCTTTTAATTATAACAATAGTAATGCATCGGTTTATATAGCACTGCGCATGTGTTTTATTTGTATTTGTGTGTGTTATGTGTGTCTGTATGTGTTTGTGTTACGTGTGTCTGTATGTGTTTGTGTGTGTGTGTCTGTATGTGTTTGTGTGTGAGTGTGTGTGTGTTGCATATGTATATATGCAAATGTTATGTATGGAAGAACAGACAAAACCAATTTCTAATGTTTGTGTGTTTCAGCGATGGTGGAGTTGGACGGAGACGACATCAGAGTGTCCTCTAGAGGGCGCCTCGCAGAGAGAGACATCGTTCAGGTGACACATGCTTCGGCTTTCTTACTTTGGTCTCACGTTCATCATTTATTTGTAAAAAAAAAATAAAAGAATATCTATTTTGATATTGACATAGACCTTATCAGAATCAGAATCATTTTTATTGCCACGTAAGTAACAGGAGGTCACAGACTAGGAAATTGCTTTGGCTCAGTGCAACAGTCAGAAAGAAATAATAAAAATAAGAATAAAAAACACTTCTAAAGAATAAATTTAAATTTAAAATAGAGTTACAGTTACTATTTACAATATACAAGTGCACATGGTGCACACAATGTAAGGTGACAGCAGTACAGTGAAGTAAAGTGACGTATAATGGGCAGTAAAGTGACTTTATAAAGGGCGGAGGGACAGGTTAAGAAGTGTTCAAGAGTCCAACAGCAGAGGGGAAGAAACTGTTCTTGTGGCGGGAGGTTCTAGTCCTGATGGACCGCAGCCTCCTGTCTGAGGGGAGTGGTTGGAATAGTCCATGTGCAGGGTGAGAGGGGTCGGCTGTGATAGGACCAGCCCGGCCTCGAGCTCGGGCGACGTACAGGTCCTGCAGCGATGGAAGGCTGCGGCCGATCACTTCCTCTGCAGAGTGCACAATGCGCTGTAGTCTCTGTTTGTCCCTGACTGTGGCTCCAGCGAACCACACGGTGACGGAGGAGGTGAGGATGGACTCGATGATGGCCGTGTAGAACTGCACCAACATCTGTGCAGGCAGCTTGGCTTTCCTGAGCTGCCGCAGGAAGTACATCCTCTGCTGGGCCTTCTTGATGAGGGAGCTGATGGTCGGCTCCCACTTGAGGTCCTGGGTGATGGTGGTGCCCAGGAAACGGAAGGACTCCACAGAGGTGATGGGGGAGTCCATCACGGAGGGTGGGGGTGGGGGGACAGTGCTCTTCCTGAAGTCCACAATCATCTCCACTGTCTTCTGGGCGTTCAGCTCCAGGTTGTTACCACTGCACCAGGACACCAGCCGGTCCACCTCCCTCCTGTAGGCGGACTCATCGTTGTTGGAGATGAGTCCAATGAGGGTGGTGTCGTCCGCGATAGTAGACAGTAGATAGTAGTACTTATAGTAGAAGTGGACTGACCGACTGCTGACTTCAGCCACAGTGTTAGCCAAAAGTGAAGAAGCTGGTTAGAGCTAACTCGAACACACTATTTTAGCAGGAATGTCTAGTTCCTGTCTAAAAAAACTCCCCTCAGCATCGACACGCATCTGGGCCAAGAGTCGACTTTTGGACCATCCTGTAAAACCGTGTTTTTTTTCCGGAAAGAAGATGCCTTACAGAAGCATTGGATAATTCTTATTCTGTGTCCACCCCCACGGGTCCGCAGTGGGATTGCAAGTATGTCAGCGCACGTGCTCATGGACCTTTTGGAGCCGGGACCCGCCCCCACTGCCCAGAGCGAGTTGGAACCACACTTATTTTCATTGAACTAGCGGGTTAGCGTTCATGCAGTCTATGGCTACCAACCAAAAAAGTACAGCCCATGCAGTTTGGGACAGTGAATCCATCGACATTTATAACTCTTTAAACTGTAAAAAAGTTGAGAAAAGGTCTCCACAGCTATTAACTCCAACTATATTCTGAGACTCGTGTGATGAATGCCAGACGCCCGAAATGTCACTTCGGTGGAAGCAATAAAGACAATAGTGGAAGTTAATGGCTGTGGGACCTTTTCTGTACTTTCTGTGTGATTTTTTTGGTTTGTTTAGATTCTTGGGATGTGTGTGTGTCTGCCCTCTGAAATCTGAAAAACAATTACAATTTCCATATGACAGAAAAATATCAAAATAACTGCTGCCCTGTGGTGGCAGAGACGGACCAAAGAGAACACTGACGTCTAGTGACAAAAAAGAGTTCTAGATAAAGTGGAATAGTGTTTGTTTAAAAGATACTGAAATACAAAACTAAAATAAAGTGTCATTTTCAGGTACACTACTTAAGATTTTGTGTAAATAAAATTGATGCTGAAGCTGCTAAAAGAAACAACCAAGACTGTAGTTCTCTAAGTTCTTAACATTCTGCCACTAAAATCTGCACTGGGAGAAAGAAAAACCGTCAATGTTGTTGTCAGCCTGAACTGGCTCATCCTGATGTGTTGTTGTCATAGAAACATGTGTTGCTACAATAGACCTTAAAGTAAGACTGGACTGATGTCACCAATGCGCCAAATGCGACAGATGTCAGTTTGAATATTAGATAGCTGGAGCCAACTCTAAACGTACGTGTTTGTCTATGTCTTTAAAACACCTTTGACTTTGTATTACTTCCAGTTTGTAGGACATTATCTAAAGAAAAAACCTTCACAAATAAACACACTGCAAAAAATATTATAAAATATGAGGTAATACTTACTTGAATTATTATGGTATATTCTGACTGTCTTAAAACAATATTTGCCAATGGGACAAGCTGTTTAGTCTTATTTCAGGAACTGTTGCTTTGTTCTCATTTTTTCTCATTCCAAGTGAGAAATTTCTTGTATTTTTAAAAAGCGAAATAATTGTGGTTGTCCCATTGGCAAATGTTGTTTTATGGCAGTCAAAATGTGCTCAAATTAAGATACATTTGGCCAAATTTGAGCAATTTTTCATCTCACTTTTTGGAGTGAAATTGGATGCAAAGTTTCACTACTGAGAACTAAACATGTGGAGGCAGTATTTCAGATTTATGCAGCTACAATCTGGAACAGTCTTCCTGAAAATGTGAGACAGGCCTCTACTCTGACAATGTTCAAATCCAGGTTAAAAACAGTTTATCTTCAACATATTTCAATTTATTGTAATGTCTTTTCTGAATATGTTTCTTTTCTTTTTTTGTTAAAGCACTTTGCCTTGTGTTTAAGCTGTAAGTTATATATATATATATATATATATATATATATATATATGTTATTATATATATATATATAATATTATATAATATTATTATTATATATATATATATAATAACATAAACTTGCCTTGTCTTTCCTAAAGTATTTTGATCACTGATTGAGAAAACCCTCTTCCATCGCCTCCGCACATGTTTTCTCTGTTCTCTCCAGGAACATCGCGAGCCCAGATTATCCCAAGATTAGCATCTAAATCACAACAAACAAGAAGGATTATGAACGTTCTTTGTCCCAAACTAGTGGCATCCATCGCCGAACAATCTCTCCCCCAAATTACTGCACAATTGTCTGTTCGCATTTCCTCAGCTCTAACCCTCTCTGAACGTCAACATATCCTTAATATCATATGTCTGCGTCTCTTTGATTAAATATTACAAATCATTCCACTTTTCATTTGTTCCCAAAACCGTAAAAACTCCACCATAAACAAGCTCAAAGACACATTTGTACATGTCCTATGAAGCAACTCTATGCTACAGAAATGAATGTGTGTAATTTGTTCATAAACTAATCCATTTGGTTCCTTTATTGTCTTAAATAGATTTTATTGCCATTGTAAGAAACAGGAAGTCACAAACCTTTGGTATAAAGGTGGGAACAAGTTGTAAAAAAGTAAAATAATAGACATATGCACACTAAGTACACACAACAGACATTTAAAGGTCCCATTTGGGTCCCGTCAGGTTTCCAGATCAGCTTTTGACTAAGTCCAGTTTCATGGTTACAGTAGGTCTGAAACAACCTTAGAGACGCATTTGCCGGGGGAAAAAGGCCTAACCCTAACCCATTCCTTGTCTATATAGTGCATCACATATTTACACCCAAAAACAAATTCTCCAATTTGACATGATCCTAACACTTTTAGTTGCTGACAATTCTTGGGTTTCATTAACCTGGCCTGTAGGGGGCGTATGAGCAGAGATGGGACAACTCAGTTTTGCTTCCATTGAAAACCATGTAAATCCTGTCTGTTTTGGAGTAAAAAGGCTCTCATCCTGTGCGGTGTACGGTTGTTGTAACAGTCTTAATCGGGGACACTCAAAAGAAAAAAAACGAAGAAATTGCTGCGTTTCATTCGGGTGGCCTGCAGGGGGCGCTTATCTGGGAAAGCTTTGATCCACCTCGCCCGCTTCATTCGAGTGATTTTTTCAAAGTGTACACGGAAGAAATTTTGTGTACACTTTCGTGAAACTCTCTATTTGCGCGGTTGCTACAAGCGTATACCGCACACAAAGACAGAACTTCTTCTACTATATCTCCGTGTATAAACCCGGCAGACTGCTCCGCCAGGATATGTTACGTCCTGTCCGACGTTTGTTATTCGCGCCACTGCCCTGACGTCATATGAAACCCAAGAATAGCAGAAAAGAAGTATAGTTCCATGAGGTAGATGCAGGATAAAACGCTGGACTCGGGATTCACTGTTTTCATTTGTCCATAACCTCCTGGATTTTATTATTATTATCATTATTGTTATTTGAGACAACAAACAGCATATGTATTATATATTGTTTTCCCTGTAGTGAAATTATTTTAGAACCTTTTTAAACTGCGTCATCTTCGGCGTTTCTGTGCCTCTCGAGACTGAAAGAGAAAGGTCGCTCTCTAACTAAAGCTTGAATGAATCAATGAAAAAGCGACTCTGGGCAGGTGTATGAAAGCAAATAGCTGTAATCATGTTAAAATCAGAGAAAGTCAAAAAGTGTAATATGGAAAATTTAACTGTGCAGGTTAAAATGACAGTAACCACTTTGTTTGAACAGTGACGTAAACACATGTCTCTGTCTCTCTTCTTCTTCTTCTTCTCTCTTCTTCTTCTTCCAGTTCGTTCCGTTCAGAGACTACATGGACCGCACGGGGAACCACGTTTTGAGCATGGCGCGTTTGGCCAAGGACGTTCTGGCCGAGATCCCCGACCAGTTCATCTCGTACATGAAAAGTCGAGGCATCAAGCCCAACCCGGCGCCCCCGCCTTACACCCCGCCCACCGGACACACGCACCACACACAGATCTGATACGGACCGAGCCAGCACGCGCCAACAGAACCAGGGGCCGCATCGCAGGAGGCCAGACGCCAACACCGAGGGCCGAGACGGGCAACCGGGCTGCTTCCAAAACAACAGACTCAGTGGGACTGTTCTGCATCCTTGTCTGTGGTTTTGATTACAAATCTGAATAATACAAGTTGGAATTGTGATGTCGCACTGAAAAACCTCTAGCCATAAACGAATGGATGTTTAAGATTGGTGGATATTTGGGAGATGTCAGCGTTAAATAAAAATGATAGGAAAGGATAAAAAAGAGCAGGGTTAGTCAGAGATAACTCTTTTGTCTTTATAGAAGAAAATTATGCAAAAGATTAAGACAAATCTAATCACAAATCGCAATCTTAACCCTTTTTGTCAGTTTTCTGCCTTTTTAAGCAAAATTATTGCCCATTAATTAGTTTCGGGAATTTCTCAAGAAAAATTTGGTTTTTTACAATTGCATGTCTTTGTTAGCAGCCAAAATTGTCAAATTTGGAATAGAAACAAACAAATTCAACTGTTCATTGGACAAAAGCAGTTAACGTATGCATCTGTGAAATATGTTTGTTGTCCCCTAAAGTTTATATTCTAATTTTGTAACCACAAGGCCCGGTTCCAGTCATCGGGGCTGAGGAGATGGAGCTGTTTAAAAAGGTAATTTGATATCACAAAACGTATAGTCCCTCCCTTTGGTATTACCACCACCAGAAAGCTTTGCTCTGAGGGAATAGTAAAAAACAATAGGGAGAGAGCTCGCCTGTCCATGGATTCCCTGAAAAGTCGATCCAGATGTCTACTTTCGAAACTTCTTCTGCTAAAGTATAGAAGTTCTAACAAAGCTGAACGAAAGCAGATCAATATCACAGCCTTTGTAACTTTTTCCTAAACACTCCAACAACAAGACGCCAACGAGAATCAGAGAGATTTCCAGAGCGGAAAACAAGGATGCAGAAGAGTCTGTTTGAGATCTGCGTTCTGCCTGGGAACACAGCTTTTTCTTTTTCCCAGTTCTGGCTCCTTGGATCGAGTAACGTCCAATGGTTTATTGGTTCCAATGGAGTATTTCCTTGGGACCCGGAGGCAGTGACTGTTTTGGTCGTGTGGTGGTGGGGTTTGTGCTGTATCTCATCAATGTCCAGGATGTGTGAACTTCAGTCTTGTCGTGGCCTGAATTTGTGATCGGAAACATTTTAGGCGCCTTTTCGCTGACCGGGAGTAGTTTTTTTTTTTTAGAATATATAGTTCCAGGATTTTCCCAAATATCTGCTGATGGACTGCAGGTTGATGTTTACAGTCAAATTTCCTCTCTTTGGCTTTGGGTCAGGCTTGGGTTTCTATTTTCTTCAATCTTTCTCTTGTTGCTATGATATGTCTTCTTCCTGCTGGGTTTTGATGTTAAAAAGGAGCTCAATAGTCTAAACTAGGTCTGCCACAGTCTAATAAAACTGGAACTTCAATGGATACAGTTTGCATTTTCTACCCCCAGCTGGAGTTGGGCTGTCGCTGTGTCGTAGGCTTTTAAGGGCTCATTAGGTCATTATAGTAATTATTGTGACAGGCCTAGTGCTTAGTTTGAGTAATTCCTCTCAAATATACTGTATTTAGCACATCACAGGAGAATTACCGAAGCTAAAACCCGATACAGCTGGACTCACTACATTTAGAATCCAACGCTTTGCCAACAGCTCGGCCTGACTGCGATGACTTTTGCTACGGGGGTGAAACGCAAAATCATTTAATCATTTATTTCTTGCTGCCCAGACTTATCGGTCGATACATTGCTCAAATCGCAGAGCCGCTACACGCTCTCGGCTTCTTAGATCCGGCTGTATCTCGTTTTTGTTTTGATACATTTTACACCTGGATGTCTTAAACCCAATGGACAACTCTTCACCATCTTCCATCTCTGCACTGTCAAAGACAATCTCCTCCCGAACCGTTTCAAATCCCGCAGATATTAACCTGCGTCTGACCCAAAGCCACGGAGAAAAAAAACCCACGTTATTACAAATCTCCTCTCGTCATATCTATTCAATGTTTACAAAGCGCATGTTGTATGTACTCCCCATGCTCACTGTACGACCGGACCGGACTGGCATGGCATCCTTTTTCTAACTGCTCATCAATAACTGGCAACAAAGCACAACGTTTATCCAGAATTTTCCGTGTTCAATGTGCTGCTATTCTTTTATATGGGAGCCCAGTTTTGTATGCAAGTAACATCTTTGTACGTTTCATTTTGGTTACGCCTGGTTCAGGGTTTAAAGCAACAACCTCTGTCTTGTTTTGAGCAATATCCGCAAAACTATTGGATCCATTCTTCATACGCTAAAGCTTACACGGTGGTTTTAACATTCATGTATTCACTAAGCTCCAATATAAACACATCACTTTTGTCTTTGCTCCCAAACCGCAAAAAAATATTGCAGGTTATAAATGGCTTGAATTAAGTGATTTTTATCTTGAATTAATGACGTCTAAGAGTTATTTTCAATAACTTCAATCCATCCGCGCTAACAAACGTGTAGCTCCATCTCTTCTGTAAAACACTACATGATAGATACTTACATTTTTACGCCACGTTCCAGATCCATTTTCTGTCTAAAACAAAAGTATTGTCTCCAAAGTTTTGGCAACTTCTCTGGTGTTTGACAATGTATACGTTTAACTGCTCCCTCTTGTGGTAGAAAGGGGGAATTGCAAACATGGGAGCCTTTTTCATCCTTATTTAAACATGTTTATCCATGTATGTTCTACTAAACAAAATATTTGACATCTAAAACTTGAAATTCCCAAACTTAACCGTCTCACTGTTATGTTTAGGAGCCGTTTATGCGCTCGTCCTCCCCCCCACCCCTTCTGTCTAAATGTTCTCTTTCAAACTTTTTACAAATCCTCAGAAGCGCCACAACTAACGTTTTGCCTTCATTTGAATTTTGGGAATTTCTCCAGTCAAATTACATTCTTTACAAACTGAATGCCTTCACTTAAATCGCACCATGACAATTGTAAGAAATGGCATGTGAATTCTTCTTCTACCATGTCTGAAAATCTATCCTATGTATCGATCTATCTATCCTTCTATCCATGTCACCAAAGCTCACACATCTATTCAAAATAACAAAATATAACTGTCATCTTTCATATTAATATCTCAAGAGGAGGTTCTTATCAGGTCAAATTCGCAAATGTAAAATATAAATAACGTGTCCCATCAAAATAAGACAGAGGTTGGTGGATTCTAATTAAAATGTTCCTTTTCATATGTAGCAGAAAAGAGCCTGTCGCGTCTCTGGAAGCAGCGATCATGAAACGCACAGAAAAGCGTTGGCAGTGGAAGCTCGTAAAGGTGATGTTTTTTTTGTGAACGGTGAGAAGTAGAATGTCTAAGAGTTTCACCGTAAATGTTTATGGATATATTTTTGGAAAGTTTATTTTTCAAGTCTATATGATGAAAAGCCATTTCTTGTCCTGTGCTGTTTGGCTGGTTTGCATTGGAGCGATGGGGCTGACTAGTTTTCTCTGTATGGTAAAATGTCCCGTTTAGACCATCCAAGTCTAAAAAAGTATTTGAATATATTTACAAAGCACACACTAGAACACACAAAAAATATTCAGTGTTACTTCCAAACCAGTCTGTCCACTCTGATCCCAGTCTACATGTGACCAGGTGGAGCCTTGTGATGCTTTCAAAGACATCTCGTAGCTTTGCCTTAGCACTCAAACTATGAACGAAGAATTGTAAGCAGAGTGGCTAATAGTAGCTACAGTAGCATACATACTGCATAAGCACAGTCATTTAACAGAGACACGTGTAAAGTCCACTCATTTCTCAATCCGTGCCACAACAGCATACACAAAAAATCTGTTTGCAGCGGGTGATTTTCAAATTTGGAAAATTCCGTTAGCATTTTTATCCATGGTGAATTTGCCGGCATATGTGTTCTACTTCTTTTTTTTTTTGCGAACCACTTAAAAACCAATTTGTTTACATAAAAAATAGCAACATTCTTGGCACTTTTGTAATGAAAATGAAAGACAGAACATATTGACGACTGAAAACATTTGTTTCGTCCACGGCTTATTGAACGATAGTCATTTTCGACACATTTTCGATCTCGACACAACTTTCATAGTAAAGCCAATTACCACACAGATGTGCCATGTGGAGCTCTCACACCTCTATGGAAAACGGCTTCGCGTCAGGGGCCGTGTATGAGCGCTGTTCAGGCTCCAATCTCTAATTACATATTCAGTCCTTGACAGCCGGACCAGACTTTCTGCCACCACCTTTTGCCCGTCCTCGCCTTCTTATTGGCCAAACAGCAGCTCGTTACTGTGTGTCCACTCCTCTACTGTGTATTCCAAGGATCCAACTGCCGTATTTCTAAGCCCTATTTGCACAGGATCAGTATTACATGTGGCCCTCTGGTAATTTTCAAATGACCGGCCCCCACCGCTGTGTTACTTGCTGCAAAGTCTGTAAATTAATCTATTCTGAATGTGCCGGATATGTGAATGAAGCATTGGACACAAAGGCATGAGCGACAACTTGAGATCGCTGTCATAAGATAAGAAAAGCTCATTTGGCATAGACAGAATCCCTCAAAGTGTGCAAAAAGACAGGAAGTGTGCAAACATCCATACATCCATCCATCCATTTTCTACCCTTTAATCCATTTCTGGGTCAGGGGGGTGGCAGTCAGAGATGCCACCCAAGTCTCATAGCACCAGCCCCTCACTGACCCTCTGCAGGTGGTGAGTCCACAGGAGGACGGCTGCTCTGAGTGTGAGCATAGCCTTGATCTTTCAGTGGGGGCTTTTGGGCAAAGTGGGGTTAAGTGTCTTGCCCAAGGACACAACGGCAGCAGTCATCAGTGGGAGTCGGTGGAGAAGGTGCAGAGGTGGGAATTGAACCCACGACCTTCTGGGCTTAAGGCCAATGCTCTACCAACTGAGCTACTGTCGCCCCACTGTCGTGTGCAAAC